GTGGTCATTTATGGCATGCCATGAGTTTTGTTGATAATTTAATGGAAAATATATGTAGTGAGAGTGCGATTAGTTGGCGTCTTGCTGGAATATCATATTTGTTTTGAAGCGGTTGAGGAAGCCGGTGACAGTTCAGGATTTTGTAATTAGGCAATTATTGAAAGGTTATCAAAAAGGTCAGAAAGTTGTTGATGGCAGGAGGCCAATTAGATTTGACTTACTGAAAAGTTTGCTAAGAATGTTGCCTTCTGTATTTTATTCATTCTACCAAGTAGCTCTTAAAACAACTTTTGTTTTGGCTTTTGGATTTCACATCCTTCAGCACTAGCGAATTGGTAGCAGCTAGTAAGTTTTGGGAGTTAAGTTTACAGTAGGGGGGATAGATTGGATAGTAAGGTTGTGCAAGTAGTATAAGACAAGTATTCAGGGCAGCAGTTGATGTTTGGAATTAACGATAACGAAACCAGTCCATTTCGACCTGTTCAGGGCTATTTACCATTAAGACCTCTTGACGATGGTCCTTTCTAGCTTGTTATCACAGCTTTAAAAAGTGTTAAGTATTTTGTGTAAGCTGAGATGGAACATTATATAGAAAGTTCATGGTTTAGTTTGGCAAGAATTTAAAGCCAAAAAAAAAAAAAAATACATTTATCTATTTCTAAAATAATTTAAAAGCTTGTTGAAAGGTTTTAGCCATAAAAAGTTGGAAGGTGGTGAGCCAGGCTTGTTTGCTTTGAGTTCATCTGTATCCAGATGGCAAAGGATATTTTTAATGTTGGTATCCATGAGAGGATGACAAAGGCTGTGGTGTGGTGCACAAACGAGGATAGAGGGGGGGTGGGGGGTGTCCTCCTTTTTCCTCCTCCAGTGCAAGAATAAAGTCATCATGTTGGTTGGTTATAAACAGGATATTATGGTTCTGGTGTTAAGCTATAATGAGTTCTGGCCAAAAGGTGTTGCTCTGGGGGGTTTTGGGGGACAGAAGCTTCAGATGTGGGACTTTTAGCCATGAGCATATACAGGTAGCAGAAAAGAAATGTGGATATTAGGGTTTCATTTCTCAATTTAGTCAAAGCAGGCATCGGTTATAAAAAAAATATGGCTATTCTAGTGCTGTCCATAGCTACTAGAGGGGAGGTGATGTATTTTAAAGCAGACTATGTGCACTATACAGATGCTCCTGCTCACTTTAAGAGACTCGAGTCAGCCCAGATGCAATGGAGAATGTCTATGTGGTGCAACCCACACCCTGAGCCAGATTCCATCTGTTAGTGAAAAGGAAAGAGAAGCAAGTACTAAGGAGAGAATGGATTTCAAGAAGTTCACGATTGAGTGTGGTTAAGAGATGTTGGGCTTGCAACTTGGGTTCATATAGAATGGGGTGAAAGATGAAAGAGAAGACAAAACTGTACTAGGCTTATTCACTAAAGTGAAAGTTTAAAGGGAATTTCAAACTTAAAGTTAGAGCAGCTCTACTAAAAGATAGCTGAATTTTTACAGTTCAGCCATTTTAAACAAATTTAAAATTCACACTTTAGTGAATACCCCTATATGTATAGGCTTAAAAGAAAACACTGCAAGTCTTTTACTACCCTTTTAATTTTTATAGCATATAATGGTTTACCTTTAAAGTTTCCTTTCTTGGCATCGCTTAGAGGGTGTGCCTGCTGCTAAAAGCAGACTACTCCATCAGCAGGAAGAGGTACCCCAAAAAAAAAAAAAAAAAAGAAACAATGACACATATGGACACACTTACGCTCTCTTTCAGCACAGGTCTCTCTCCTGTGGTCCTGTAGTGCACATGTTAACTGTCTCTCACTGGACCACTGGGGGATTGGCTCTATAATAAGCCTGCCTCCATTTCATGACTTTCCTTTCTTTGTGGTCCAGTGCTGCTGCTGGCAGTGGTGATATGTGATGCTCTGCCCTCTCCAAGTAACCCTCTATAATATCCTCTCCCTTGTGTTTTCTGTGCTCAACATTAGGTCAGAATGCATGCTGAGAATCCCCTCAGCTGCACTCTGACTCACTGAGTGCCAGAGTCATGAGAGAGAAGATATGATAGAGGGTTACCAGAAAGGGCGCAGAGCGTCACCTATCACCACCAGGGATAAGAGGAAGAAAGAAGCTGATGCTGGACTCTATGCAGGGCAGCAGCAGAAGTTTAGCAAACTAAAAGTAAGCAGCCTGCTGGTGCCCTGCTTGCACTTTTCATCTCTGCTGGGCTCCCCCTCCCCTGACAGGCGGAATTCCAGGACTCTGTTGCACTTGTGACCTTTGCAAACTTGGTAGTTGTGCCACTGAAGTCCACTTTAAAAGAAAGTATGATCCTGCGGGTGGTCATTTATGGCATGCCATGAGTTTTGTTGATAATTTAATGGAAAATATATGTAGTGAGAGTGCGATTAGTTGGCGTCTTGCTGGAATATCATATTTGTTTTGAAGCGGTTGAGGAAGCCGGTGACAGTTCAGGATTTTGTAATTAGGCAATTATTGAAAGGTTATCAAAAAGGTCAGAAAGTTGTTGATGGCAGGAGGCCAATTAGATTTGACTTACTGAAAAGTTTGCTAAGAATGTTGCCTTCTGTATTTTATTCATTCTACCAAGTAGCTCTTAAAACAACTTTTGTTTTGGCTTTTGGATTTCACATCCTTCAGCACTAGCGAATTGGTAGCAGCTAGTAAGTTTTGGGAGTTAAGTTTACAGTAGGGGGGATAGATTGGATAGTAAGGTTGTGCAAGTAGTATAAGACAAGTATTCAGGGCAGCAGTTGATGTTTGGAATTAACGATAACGAAACCAGTCCATTTCGACCTGTTCAGGGCTATTTACCATTAAGACCTCTTGACGATGGTCCTTTCTAGCTTGTTATCACAGCTTTAAAAAGTGTTAAGTATTTTGTGTAAGCTGAGATGGAACATTATATAGAAAGTTCATGGTTTAGTTTGGCAAGAATTTAAAGCCAAAAAAAAAAAAAAATACATTTATCTATTTCTAAAATAATTTAAAAGCTTGTTGAAAGGTTTTAGCCATAAAAAGTTGGAAGGTGGTGAGCCAGGCTTGTTTGCTTTGAGTTCATCTGTATCCAGATGGCAAAGGATATTTTTAATGTTGGTATCCATGAGAGGATGACAAAGGCTGTGGTGTGGTGCACAAACGAGGATAGAGGGGGGGGGGGGGGGGAGTCCATCCCTCCTTTTTCCTCCTCCAGTGCAAGAATAAAGTCATCATGTTGGTTGGTTATAAACAGGATATTATGGTTCTGGTGTTAAGCTATAATGAGTTCTGGCCAAAAGGTGTTGCTCTGGGGGTTTTTGGGGGACAGAAGCTTCAGATGTGGGACTTTTAGCCATGAGCATATACAGGTAGCAGAAAAGAAATGTGGATATTAGGGTTTCATTTCTCAATTTAGTCAAAGCAGGCATCGGTTATAAAAAAAATATGGCTATTCTAGTGCTGTCCATAGCTACTAGAGGGGAGGTGATGTATTTTAAAGCAGACTATGTGCACTATACAGATGCTCCTGCTCACTTTAAGAGACTCGAGTCAGCCCAGATGCAATGGAGAATGTCTATGTGGTGCAACCCACACCCTGAGCCAGATTCCATCTGTTAGTGAAAAGGAAAGAGAAGCAAGTACTAAGGAGAGAATGGATTTCAAGAAGTTCACGATTGAGTGTGGTTAAGAGATGTTGGGCTTGCAACTTGGGTTCATATAGAATGGGGTGAAAGATGAAAGAGAAGACAAAACTGTACTAGGCTTATTCACTAAAGTGAAAGTTTAAAGGGAATTTCAAACTTAAAGTTAGAGCAGCTCTACTAAAAGATAGCTGAATTTTTACAGTTCAGCCATTTTAAACAAATTTAAAATTCACACTTTAGTGAATACCCCTATATGTATAGGCTTAAAAGAAAACACTGCAAGTCTTTTACTACCCTTTTAATTTTTATAGCATATAATGGTTTACCTTTAAAGTTTCCTTTCTTGGCATCGCTTAGAGGGTGTGCCTGCTGCTAAAAGCAGACTACTCCATCAGCAGGAAGAGGTACCCCAAAAAAAAAAAAAAAAAAAAAAAGGGAAGAGAAACACAAATCATCATATTTTTGTTGTCTGATCAGGGATTAAAGGGAGAAGTGTTTTTATCCCCAAAAACACAGACCAATTTAGAATGAGCAAAACTACTCTTAAATGATAGCAGCCATAGTGAACTGTGTTTTGTGCACTGATCAGCAGAATTGTGGTCTACACAAAATTGATAGCTGGCAACTGGAGCCAAGCATGCAGTCTGCCTGACCGTTTACCCAGATTGTTGGCTTCAAGGGCTGGCCTAGTGCAGCAGTAATCTTCCCAATTGGCTGCAGTGTGCCCTACGAAACTTGTGATGGTTCTTTCAGTGACCCCTCACTAATAAAAACCCATTATAAATAAAATGAACAGAAAGGACATCGTTATGAAATTGTTCATGTTCTGTACTAAAATAGCATTGAATGTGGATTATGCAAATGGCTAACTAGAAACCAAATGGCAGCCAACTTGCATGTGGAATTGTCAAATAGGTCATTATATATATTTTCAAAGCCCCACTCAACTCCCAAAGGGAGAACCAAATAACCCGAATTTAAAATGTACCAAGAGGTCCAAGAAGCTTGGGAGTTATGGCTTGCTATAGGATATTTAGGTGTATCATAGTAGGCAACACCAGACCAATAGGCTCCTAATCCAGCACCCAACGTTCACTAGAAATGAGAATATAAAGAAAATTAAACAGTTAAGAATACCAAAAAAAGACAAACTTTTTATTTTATTTTAAATTTTTACATAGCACAAAAATTCATAATGCAAAAAAGTTTGCAATTTACTACATTTGAGGAGATAAGCATATAGTAACCGGTTACGGCTACCAACAAGACATTCAAACTTTCGATCATCTTTAATAGAAGTAAAAAGCATTCCAGACTGCTGCAAATTAAGTCACAGTGTCAAATGCTAGTGAAATAGTACTAGGGTTTTCTTGTACCAAAAACAAGTGCAAGCCCAACTAGGAGAATAAACATGGCAATGCTGAGAAGTACAGTGATTACAACCATTCCCCCGGAACGTCCAGTTAAGGAGACATACATGTCACTGGGGCTTTTTGGCAAATCTGAAATAAAATACAAATTTAATACAGCATAAAAAAAAAAAAAAACGTTGGGGGAAAGAATTGGCACCCATTTTCCCATCTTAAATATACTTTTCAGTACACACAAATATTACATAAATAAAAATCTGCACATAGATTGGGGTCAATATCACATTTAAAGGGACCCTGAAACTGCTACATCTTATTTGAAGGGGTTTAGAGAGTCTGGTGCCATCCTTCAATTTAGCACTAAAGTATTTTTATTGTTGAACAACAGTCCCCAACAGCCCTTCCCCTCTCCTCTGCTAGAGCCACTTTTCGGCCAATCACAGCAACCACTGTTGGTATGAATTTGTCTGGCTAGAAGGAAGTGTGCAATCTCCAGTAGGGGCTGCACCACGGGTGACCAAATACCATAATTTCAGTGTTAAACTGCTCAAAACTGAATGGAAGGACTTTACCAGCAGAATGCAGGCACTATTACACGCTCAATGAGAGAACATGGTTTTGGTGAATAAAGTTATATGATGCAGCCTGTAAGAAGGTTGGGATATGTAAAATGTGTTTTTTGTAAATGGCAGCACTGATAAGCAACTTACTGCACAGTGAGAAAATAAATTAATTTTCTTACATGTGCAAATCTACCCTTTATTGTAAAGTCTTTGGTTCACCTCTACTGTAGTCAGCAGATCAGAACATGTATGAACAAGGAATTTTGAAACTCACAATGGCATCTTCATCTCTATCATAGAAGAACTTATTTATTTTATCATTTTATTTCCTTAATTTAAAAAAAAAAAAAAAAAAAATATGTAGGACATTACCATTCTATAGATCTTAGGGTGACTTTTGTTAGTGCCCCTTTACACTGCATATTTTAGGAATAAAAAAATAAATAAATAAATAAAATGATATAGATATATATATATTATATATAAAAATAAATAAAATTTGATTGGACTAACCTCTAGTGTAAAAAGGCCTTGACCAATTGGTGTAAGCCATTTCAGCATTGGCAGCATTCAGTAATACAAAGCGGAATCTAAAATAAAGCAGAGAAGAATGATGGGGTGGGTGTACATTTTTTTCCCTTCCAACTGTGTTCTAACTAGGTGGACGCACTAATCAAATAGTACATTGAAAAGAAGGGCATACACAAAAGTTAGATATCACCATCCGCTTTTAATTAGTAACCTGATCTAAAATAAGCGGATGACGGAAGGTTGAAAGATCAGCATGAATCAATATGGATGTCGTAAACAAAAATCAAACTGAACACTTGGTTCAGTGTAATTATGCATCCTTTTCTGGATTTATTGATTGAGTTAACGGAGGGGGTAGAAAACTAATTCTGTGCTGTAAGATTCCAAAAGAAGCTGATGTAGTTTGACAGAAAAATCAGTAATTGAATAAGGTGACGGAAACAAAGACTTTGTTTTGAAATGAAAATGTTACTGTGGACCGATGATACGGAATATTTGTTTCTCCCTTACATCACGTAGCTTGAGAAGGGTTTGATCATTTAGGGTATTTCAGTGCAGCATCCTGACCATATCTGGGAAGGGGGTGGAGGAGCACTCTCTGTTCTGTAATTTAGGGGAGGGAGTGGAGACAAGGACAAATTTCCTCTGTCTTATAACGCGATAGATGTAATGATAGTTGGGCAGGTCATCCTAAGGAAAGCCTAGTGTGTTGTCGAGCCAAATATAAAACTGTGGAAGGTCAAAGCCCATTAGGCTGGACTCCAAATTCACCGAGCACCATTCCCTCAGGGAGGCGTGCCATAGGACCACCTATGACAATTGCACAGCAACATAATACATGTACAAATGGGAAGACCCAATCCTCCATGCATTATAAGGCAGAACAACACCTGCCTGTGGTGCATAGCCCCAATCCTGATGGGTGGGCCTGCCTGGAAAGGCACACTGACAGTCCCTCTCATCACATCAAACATAGAAGACCATGGAGAGAGAATTACTGTAGCATTCATTGAAAGATCCTAGTGCCCTCCACATAGTGCGAGGAGGTTTAATGATTCACTCACACTGTGCTTCAAGGGAGAGGTCACTGGTGTTACTGGATGCAGGACACCAGAAAAAATAATTATATTTGAATGGGGGGGTGGGGGGAAGGACAGGACCGCAAGATAAGTAATATCTCACCAAAAGCAATATAGCTGGGTGGCTGAAATGGTTTCACAGTTGAATCCCTGACTACTGCTGCTTCTACCACGTTGTGAGTCATCAAGACCACAGTGAAACAAAAGTCCAGAAAGTGAACAAGGTCTCTATGGTGCGGTCACTATAACTTGTAAAGTTCCTTGTCCCAAGATGTGCACAAATTTACTTTTATGGAAACTGAAGTTAGTTGGGGATATATTGGAGACTGGGAAGAAAGTTCTGTACTATCACAAAATGACCTGCATAATTAATTCCACTTTTTTCACCTTACCTGTAAGCATGCCCTGGCAGAATACTTTGGACACGACTTTTATCAAGGGTGTTAATATACGGTCCAGCCGAATAAGCATCTGGTCCTGTCGATTGAAGATCATCAAATAATGGTCTACACTGTGGGACACTAAATCCAGATGGAAGGGCATATGTACTGTTGTCACCTAGTGGAGGAAATTAAAAAATAAAAATCTATGTATTACACTTTGCGTGCAAGTGAATTTATGTGACTTTTGCTGGTAAAAGTACACTCAGAACCATAACTGCATTGGTAAGTAATCCTACATGCACATTAAAAACCAAATCGAGAAACCTAATAATACCCCCCAAAAAATTGTATTAACAAATGAGTGACTAAATGGACAATCATTTTACTATGTTGTAGAATGCCCCCTTAATGCATTTTTTCCTATCATAACAGAATTCAAGAAAGTAGGAGTAATTTGCACTGATGATAGTTTCAGAACTCTAGAGCTATAGGTGAACACCTAAAATCTTGTATGGAGGGGTGGGGACACACACACCCCTAAGGTATTCGGGGGAAAACAGACAAAATAAGGGGATGGCACTGAAAATTAGATTGTATGTAAAGGTTTAATGGAAAGATTAAATGACCAAGAGTATTTCAAGTAAGATTTGATCATTCCATGGCAGACTGAGAAGAGCAAGTAGTACACGTCACTGAATTAGTGGGTTTTTCAGAGAACATCTAGTATGTCTAAAAATCAGAAATGCGAAATATCAAATAAATAAACCTATTGCACACCAGTAAAGTAACAAATAGTCCTTTATTACAGTAACAAACTCGATGAAACACATGTAGACCCAAAAATAAAATCTACAGAAATATAGCAACACACATACCCAAATTTGGCAAATTAAGCTTTGTGATCATGGTAATCACCAGTGGAGTGCGTTAAGCAAAACAATATGCAAACTCTATGAGAGGAAAACAAAAAGTAAAAAAAAATAAATAAATAAAACTCTCCGAGGACCCTTAACAAAGGCTGTTTGAAGTTGAAATGTTGGGTTGTGTGTCTTCTGTCAGAAAAAAATAAATAAATAAAACTCTCCGAGGACCCTTAACAAAGGCTGTTTGAAGTTGAAATGTTGGGTTGTGTGTCTTCTGACAGAAGACACACAACCCAACATTTCAACTTCAAACAGCCTTTGTTAAGGGTCCTCGGAGAGTTTTTTTTTTTTACTTTTTGTTTTTCTCATTTTTATGGGGTTAAGGGATTTTCCTTATTGAGGGACTTCTTTTTACTATCAGAAGGTAATACGTTATGTAGAATTGTAGTACTTGAGGTTTTATTTTCCTACTGTATCCAGTCTGTGTATGCAGAGTTTTTAGAGCAAAAATGTATATTTGGTATTATTTTGTTAGATAAGTTTGTACATTTTTCTTTGGGTGCACTCTAACGTAATGCAATGCATACACAATCCAAACAATACGAACATCCTATATATAGAGTCTGATAATGTCGTTATAGCCAGATAAGAAAGGACAGACAAACAGTGCATCTATAATCCATTAAACAAATTGGGCTTACTAATCAGCACAATGATATTTTCTGATATATAGGTTTACCGTCAGTCTGTACTTGCACAGTAATGGTTGAAGTTTCTCGGACAGCTACAGATGGATTTACTACCTTACTGGTCCATTCTTCATATAGGCAGTAAGCTGGACGTAGGTAGAACATTGTAGACAACTCCAGCCCTCCAGCATACAGGGAAACATCATAATCTTAGGAGACAAGAATGCAATTCCATATATTAAAAAGGAGTAGGGGAAACAAAAAAAATAAAACATTTTTTTCTTAAAGATACAGTTTATATGAATTGGCATATTAAAGCCCCTAAAAGGATACCAAGTATATTTTTGCACACAATATTAGATTTGTATATGTCTCTTGGGGTTGCCTGTGTGTGAAGGGGTTATGTAACAGGGTGAATTAGTGGGTAGATAATCTGCGGAGAGGCTGTATTTCTCTCTCCAGCCTCTTCACAAATTGCAGCTAATTTCCCCCCCCCCCCCTTTTTTTTTTTTTTTTTTTAAATCTAAGCCCTCTTTCTGCCTAGTTTTTCTGCAGTGATTGGGCTCTAATCTTGATTCCTAGGTGGTCACAGTGGCTGTGAGGTAGATCTGCACCACTGGCTCAGTGCAGACCACTGACTGGAAAGGAGCTCTATAGAACTCCTTGCCGACCATGCAGCTGTGTTGGATGTGGCACTATAATGGTCCGCTATCTGGCCAGCTACTACAGGGTAATTTGCAATAGTTAAGATTGTGTATACATGACTGTGGGGGTATATAAATAAATTAAAAAATAAGTTTAAAAAAAGTGGACAATTATTTCAGTTGCAACTACTTCATGCTAGAACGAGTTTCTTTGAATAGGGATGGTCACTGCCAAGAAATTTTAATATTCTGTTTATTTATCCTCTACCTATAGCAAATGTGTTTTCTTGCAAAATCTGGAAAAACAAATGCAGAAATCCTGGAGCACCTCCATCTTAGCTCCCTAGTATAAAATAAAATAATTATAATATATATATTTTATTTATTTTTTTTATTTTTTTTAATAACAAAAATTGGACCTGGCTATGCCTAGACTAATAAATGGATTGTGATGTCACTTGCTAAATCTTTAATATATATATATATATATATATATATATATATATATATATATATATATTTTGTTTTAAGAAAATAATGTTTACATTGCAGGGTTAAATCTACTTTCAGTGGCAGATTGGTAGAGGCACTTTCGTGGAACTGACCAAGTAAAACCTGAATGCACACAATATTGCAACATTACAGAGGAGGCCACGCTTCCTACATGACATTGCTGGAGGCAGAGAGGTAAGGGAACCTACCTATATCCTTAAAAAAGACATGGGGGGTAGAACGACACCTTTATACATAGAGAGGTTTTATAGTGTTTGTTAAATGAAGCAATTTTTTGTGTTTTAGTCGAGGTATCAAGTTTCACAAGAAGGAACAATTAAGCGGTCTTTATTTAAACAACCAAAAACCATATACGTGAAATTAAAAAAAAAGTGTAATTGATAAGCATTTTCTTGACTACTTGATGCTGCATGATGGTTTACAACTTACAAGTGGTTATTCAATGGACTCCAAGATCTTAACTTTTCAAATGATCACAATCTGTAAAAAATAAAAAATAAAAAGAGAATTCAAATTATTTACCTTCTAAAATTCCCACAGACGTTACTGGGGATATCTGTAGGTAAACCATTTGAAACATTTTCCTAACAGATTGTGAGAATATGAAATGCTTTTCCAAGAGCTTTAAATAAATTGAGGACCAAATTATAGAAAATGTCAAAGTTAATGGCAAAACAGACTCTTCGATTAGTAAATATTCTTTAACTCAACTGTAGCTACCGCTGGACTATTTTAGCCTTAGTTATGAAATTCAGGTCTCAATTCACTACATTTAGTTTCATGAAAAACCCAAACATAAACCGTCAAGGGTCAGCAATTTAGGAATTTCCAAGATTTTGGCAAAAAAAAAATTTCAAGACATCTAGGTTTTAAACTTGGTTATTTTTGCCTCAAGTTTGAAATTCACTTGAAAATTCCTGACAAATCACACTTTAACAAATTATCCTACATATGTGTAGATCAGTGGTAAATTATACAGAATTTAAAATGATTAGGAAAAAAGTCATACTATGTTACTTACTTGGCAGAAGCACAGGAACACAGTTTAGCATATTTATCATAAACGTGACATGAATGCATCTCATCCAAAAAGATCGGGGACTCATTTTTGGAATGGACCAGATCAGTCTAACAATCCGGTTAGCATTCGCTCCTCCTAAACAAAACAGAGTGTAAAGGTTTGCTAATTAAAACACCTCTAAAAATGGACCACTCCCACCCACCTGTCAGTGTGACATGCATCATACAAACATAGAACAAAAGTGATATGTAGGTAGATAAGGTATCATTATACCTTGGTCATATATTTCTCTGATATTGATGTTAAACAAAAAGTGCCTGAAATGCTGCAGAAAGGAAAGCAATGCATTAAACAAGAAAGTGTCCCAACTGAACTTAATCAATTTCCTTCCTACCTTAATTTCTAAATGAGTCAAACTACAGGGTAGCACTTTTCCTGTGCAGCACATCAGCATGAGCAAGTGATGTGTGTGTTGCAGAAAACATGGTATAATCTAATAATAGGGCTGCCGGATTGTATTTTTAATTAAAGATGCTTAAATAAAATGCATACTTCTGAAATGTATTGTTTCAAATATAGCAAGAATGTTTGTAAATGTATCCAAAACAAAGGTAGAGATCAGGTAATCCTTGTGATGAAGCCAGTCCTCTACCTGCAAGAGAATAAATTTCAGAAGTTACTAATCACTGAGGTCCCATATACCTCCAAATTTTGGGAAATCCCTGACCCACAATGATTATTTAGAAAATGCTATTTAGAGGCAAATTCAACGATTAGTCTTTAAATGTAATCACAACTGAGTAAGTACTGGGACTTCTACAAATTAGTTCTAAAAAGATCAGAACACTGAAGAGCTTGGCCAGTCTCCCAGCAAAAATAATATGAGCCCCAAAAGTGGATGACTAGACTTATGGCAATATAATGTGCTACCCACCCCCACCATCCAGTGCCATGGTTGCTCAACCAATTACTGTAGCAAAAGCAACTCCACCCCAATAATTTAGTGCCTGGTTACTCCTAGCCTTGTCTTTTGACGATCCCTCTCCCTTGAACAGCTTGCTAGGTGATGTTACCCAGTCCTAATTAACATTGCCCCCTGCATCAATATCGTTGAGGGATGCCCAAGTTATCTATTAGCATTGGGGTTTCTTTAGTGACTGTCCAACAGTAACAAAAATATGTAAACTTATGTTAAAACATTTATCCTTATCCTTTACCTAATACAATAGTCAGACTTCTTGATAAAAAATATATGAGACAAAAATAGAAAAAAAGCCCACATAACAAATCCTGTTTTAACGACGGATGTCTTAATAGTTGCATTACAGCTGTAAAACTGGCTTTGCATCTTCTTCTAAGTTGTATTTCAAAGCTGTTGTATACAGCAAACACAGACTCAAAGGAATGTTTAAAATGGAATAAGTCAAAAATGTGATTCTTTGTTGGACTAATTTGCATATGCCCACCCAGAATCCTTTGCAGTAGTAACATCACTGCAAATGTGTGATTTTTATTAGAAAAACAAGTATTATGGCTTGACTGGTGTGCAGATTTTTGTTTAACATTGTATTGACTATCCATAAACTTCAGGAGGAAGGGGTTTCCAATCACAATTTTTCCCCACCATATTGTTTTTGGTTTTATATATATTTAAGGCTGGGCCTGTAGTTGTAGGAGGGGCTTGGGTTCCCTTTATAAGGGATTAAAAAAATCCTCTGCCATTTTACAGTTGTTGGTCTGGCGAGTTGAGTGTGACTACTTCCAGTCAAGTTGCCATTTTGCTGTCTCTTACCTGTTTCCTCGTGGTCCTGTTTCCAGGCTACTGTTCTGACTAAATTCTACTTACCTAACCACTCACCAAATGCTACAGGCCCGCTGCCTTCTCTGGCTTACTGGGAGACTTGTCTCTGAACTGCTCATTTCAACCATAAGTTAGACCCATACCGTTGCGCTTCGGTTGTGCTCGTTCAGCGTCATCACAGTTTGGGTCTATTTCTATTCTTACTATTTCGTATAGTTTCAAATGTGTTCGGCACTTCTTGCATTAAACGCACGTACGCATTAGTTTGTTTCTATGTGGTAGGGACTTTCGGTTCTTTCAACCGTACAAACGGTGGTCCTCGTTTAGCTCCTTCCGCATATGCTTACAGATGCTTAATCATTTAACCATTCGTATGATTTCATAAGAACCATCTAGTGGATTGTATTGGAAACATGCAAACAACTATTTAAACGCATAGACTGTTCGCATGATTCCTCCCGATTGCCTGTTATAGCTGCTTTCGCTGTTACACAAATTTAGACGAATTATAGGTATGTCTGCAACTTTTGGGTTCGGGTGCCCCCTACTGGTTACGGATGATATTACGGTTTTATTTTAACTTTTGCACATGGCTATTTCTCTTCTATTTCTGGTATATCAAACCTGCTATTTGGCTGACATCTTATGTGCTTTTGATGTTCTACCTGCAGGTGCATGTCAGAACTACAGGGAGTGCAGAATTATTAGGCAAGTTGTATTTTTGAGGATTAATTTTATTATTGAACAACAACCATGTTCTCAATGAACCCAAAAAACTCATTAATATCAAAGCTGAATATTTTTGGAAGTAGTTTTTAGTTTGTTTTTAGTTTTAGCTATGTTAGGGGGATATCTGTGTGTGCAGGTGACTATTACTGTGCATAATTATTAGGCAACTTAACAAAAAACAAATATATACCCATTTCAATTATTTATTATTACCAGTGAAACCAATATAACATCTCAACATTCACAAATATACATATCTGACATTCAAAAACAAAACAAAAACAAATCAGTGACCAATATAGCCACCTTTCTTTGCAAGGACACTCAAAAGCCTGCCATCCATGGATTCTGTCAGTGTTTTGATCTGTTCACCATCAACATTGCGTGCAGCAGCAACCACAGCCTCCCAGACACTGTTCAGAGAGGTGTACTGTTTTCCCTCCTTGTAAATCTCACATTTGATGATGGACCACAGGTTCTCAATGGGTTTCAGATCAGGTGAACAAGGAGGCCATGTCATTAGATTTTCTTCTTTTATACCCTTTCTTGCCAGCCACGCTGTGGAGTACTTGGACGCGTGTGATGGAGCATTGTCCTGCATGAAAATCATGTTTTTCTTGAAGGATGCAGACTTCTTCCTGTACCACTGCTTGAAGAAGGTGTCTTCCAGGAACTGGCAGTAGGACTGGGAGTTGAGCTTGACTCCATCCTCAACCCGAAAAGGCCCCACAAGCTCATCTTTGATGATACCAGCCCAAACCAGTACTCCACCTCCACCTTGCTGGCGTCTGAGTCGGACTGGAGCTCTCTGCCCTTTACCAATCCAGCCACGGGCCCATCCATCTGGCCCATCAAGACTCACTCTCATTTCATCAGTCCATAAAACCTTAGAAAAATCAGTCTTGAGATATTTCTTGGCCCAGTCTTGACGTTTCAGCTTGTGTGTCTTGTTCAGTGGTGGTCGTCTTTCAGCCTTTCTTACCTTGGCCATGTCTCTGAGTATTGCACACCTTGTGCTTTTGGGCACTCCAGTGATGTTGCAGCTCTGAAATATGGCCAAACTGGTGGCAAGTGGCATCGTGGCAGCTGCACGCTTGACTTTTCTCAGTTCATGGGCAGTTATTTTGCGCCTTGGTTTTTCCACACGCTTCTTGCGACCCTGTTGACTATTTTGAATGAAACGCTTGATTGTTCGATGATCACGCTTCAGAAGCTTTGCAATTTTAAGAGTGCTGCATCCCTCTGCAAGATATCTCACTATTTTTGACTTTTCTGAGCCTGTCAAGTCCTTCTTTTGACCCATTTTGCCAAAGGAAAGGAAGTTGCCTAATAATTATGCACACCTGATATAGGGTGTTGATGTCATTAGACCACACCCCTTCTCATTACAGAGATGCACATCACCTAATATGCTTAATTGGTAGTAGGCTTTCAAGCCTATACAGCTTGGAGTAAGACAACATGCATAAAGAGGATGATGTGGTCAAAATACTAATTTGCCTAATAATTCTGCACTCCCTGTATTAGTCCGAGGTATTGTTCCTGTTTTTGACAACTCCACTAAATTGTCAATTGAAGTTGGTAAATTGGTTTAAATTTGGTTTATTTATATCATCCCTCCTGGTTTTACGTTAATATCGCAAATTTCTTTAGGTGTCAATATCAGACCAGACTGTTTCATTCACAAGGGTTCTCCCATTCGTGGCAGCATTTGTCAAAAGTTCTCTCCTCACATCTAGGATTTGGGTAGGTTACTCTATATTACTCAGGTCTGCGATCTGGCCCACATATATTTCTATATACTCAGATACTTTATTACATTTTAACATTTAGGTTGAAATACATACCTACTCCCAACCTCCTTACCCTATTTCTACTGAGAATCATTTTTTCTGATTCTAAATATCTCAGGTACGACATTTACAATTTCCTATATCTTAGTCTCAATACTAACCCCGACAACTCGGATGCAGGGGAAGGGCCTAGTGGGTCCCAGGTGCCGGATGTTCATGCTATGATGACCTCAATAATGTCTTCCATTGGACTAATAAGTGATAGACTATACAAATTAGAAGCAGTATATTCCTCTACTGTGCCTGCAGGGCCTGCTATTCCTGATTCTGCGGGTTCATCTTTCACGCCTGGTAACTCTCTTATCACATTTAATGTCCCTGAAAGTATCAACTCATTGCATATGAGCCACTCAGTCCCTAACTCTGCAAGATCAAACAAAGGTGGGTAGGGATATCTTCTTAAAAGTTTGGTGTGGAGTACATGTAAAAGAACAAAAACAAAGGGTACAAAATAGTGCAGATGGTACTTAAAATTGGAATCCAGTATATCAGGTGACAGTCAGGACATTCACATTTAAAGAAGCCTGTGTATGAATACTGGCTCCGTAATCAAGCTGATGTGCTTTTATGGCAGCACCACCCTTCCGCTTCGTTGTGGAGTGATTCTCATGAATCAAAAAACAAGGAATCTATCTATACATATAAATTTATTGCAATACAAGTGTAGAAAATACATACAATATATAATATAATAGTGACCACATAGGCTAAACAACTAAACAGGTTTATTTACCAAATTCCACAAGCCTATCTGGGCAGAAACACGAGTCAAAAACAAGGCTACCAGGAGGAGCCGAAACATTGGGGGATTGTTTTTGACTCGTGACTCGTCATAATTACCAAAGAGTAAGACCTTCCTCTATTTACAATGTGGAAAGTGGCTAGGTTGTCAGAGAAACATCTGACTGAGTGACCAGCCCAGTCTGGCCCCCAGGCAATACCCAGGCCACGATTGGGTATAATTCAAACAAGGCTGACATAGTGGAGAAGCTAGGTAGGGACTTAACTTCTCTAGGCCATGGATCCCAAAGCCATTTGTTGCCACACAGATGGCTGCGAAGCCAGTAGTAGCCGCAGCGGCTGTCCATAGTGTAGGAGAATTGCCGTAAATTTGAGGGATGAACATGGCTTGGCAGTTCCATGATGTAAGGGAAATGCGCCACATAAGTAAGTCAACCGTTGCGTGTGTGTCTAACAGAATGTGTGATTCCTCTGAGGGGAGGTCTGGGAACAAAGAAAGTAGACAGGAAATGAATGATCTACCCGGTGGAATAATCCTCATGGCAAAATTGAGCTACTCAAGTTGATTAACTGTCTGAATCTATTCACATAATGATGATCTAAATGCTGTATATCTATAGAGTGTATGTGGCTCAGAGTTAACCCTTATACTGAGTGCATGAAAGAATTCTGTGCTTTGCTGATTGGATACTAGTCTTGTGAGTCATATCTGAAACGTTGATCGGTTTTATTGGCAAACAACCTTTTTTTCACCCTCTAAAAGTCCTCGGAGTTCTATCATTTTCAACTATTGTATATTTTTGCGGACAAGCACTGGGCCCTTAAGACATTTTTTACTGGAGTGCAGGCATGTGGCATTTTTATATATATGTGTATATATATATATATATATATGTGCAGCAACCATGGGCAGTTAGGCAAAAACTTTAAGAAAAAAAACAATAACAGGGAAACACAAAAAAGGTGCACAGCAAACAAATGCAACTAATACTTAAAATATCTTGTGGACAACGTTCATATGTATTTTCTTCCTAAAAATATAAAATGCAAGCACGCATAGTCCAAAATACCTGGCTCAGAGTTATGATACTGTGTGGTAATAGATATTACTACCCTGGTTGGGTTTTTCTGCCTCTTCTCAGAGAATGTTTTTTACATTTTTGTTAACATCCCCAAAGCAATGTTTTCAAGGTGAGAAAATTAAACGTTATTCTGTAAAAGTTGAAGGATAATTTGTGTTGATTCCCATACTGGCCAGAATCTGTTTTTTAAACTTATTTGAAAGGATTACTATTAGCACCAAAACCGGTCCATCCTAAATTACCCATGAGAAACCGCAATGTTTATATTTTTCTGTGATGAAGTGCAGGTGAGGCATGAAACGTGTCAGTGGTGATCTTTATACTTCCCCCTGTATGTCCTGGCCATATGTCTACTTTGCTTGAAATTTTTTTATTTATTTATCTTTTTCATTGGATCTAGGTTGTTTTTTTCTTCTATATAGAAAGAGATTGGCAATCTAGTCTTTCAGTCCAAGAACATGCCTACAAGCGGCTGAAGATCCTTACATCTGTGTTATCACACACATTTGTTTATATACAGTCTGCTTTGTTACCCATGTTCAAACACTCTGATTGTGCTTTCCATCTAGGAACTTTTTTGTCAGTGCCCCAGTTTTGAAAATGTTACAAAAGGAAGCTTAACAACAACCACATCATAAACCAAATTGTGCAATTTGCCTAGGAAAAAAATAGTCTTACAGAATGAGCCTATTCCAAAACATATAACGAGGTAGACAAGAGAGGCGGGGCCTGACCACAGAGCTGGGTAGACATTTGCCTCGGCAGCTCCGG